TTTTATCTATATGATTCTGTTTATTAGCGGAAACGTATGGAACAACACTAAGCTAGCTAGATTTTGGACACGACGAAAATGCCATAGCTTTGGACTATTGTGACGTCTGCAGGTCACAGCCATCCGAATGGCGGGATAGCAGATACAGCTATCCCACCATTTGGAGCAAGGTTGCTCCTGAAAACCGTTTCATATGAGACTGTAATTTTTTATTAATACGGTTTCAATTGATACATTAAGTCAGTTCGAAGTTTTACTGTGTCAATGACCGGTCTCTTAATATCAAACCTCTATTCAAGTCGAACTTTGAAAACAGGCATTGTTTGCCATAGTAAAAAAAAAAGCGTATGCGTACAACAATTATTTGATTGACCGTATGCGTATCAATTAGAATGAGTCTGACTTGGAGGCGTTAACCCACGATTTGGGTGACCTGCTTAGATGACGTTTCAGTCACTGGGCACCTGCATAAACACCGAAATACGCAAAAGTTCTATTGGGAACTAAACTTTCTAAGCAGATCTTACTCATCTGCAATCGGGTACCATTGGAGGCAGTCAGATTACTGCGCAATTATTAGGGTAATTATTGGGCGATATTGAAGTAATACGAGAATAATTACCGGGTGATATTAAGGTAATCATTGGTCAATATTAGGGTAATTATTGGGGGTGATATTAGAGTAATACTAGGCTAATTATCGGGTGACAGGAGGGTAATTATTAGGCTAGTTATTGGGGCAATATTAGGGTAATTATCCGAGTGATATTAGGGTAGTTATTGGGCCGATATTAGGGTAGTATTAGTGGTAGGCATTGGCTAATGTTAAGGTAATACTAGAGTAACTACCGGAATGACATTAGGGTAATATTAGGATAATTATTAGGCGATATTAGAATAACGTTATGGTAATTATTAGGTGATATTAGGATAATATAATGGTAATTATTAGGCGATATTAGGCTAATACTAGGCTAGTGATCGGGTGATATTAGGGTAATTAATGGGCGACATTAGGACAACACTAGAGTAACTACCAAGTGATATTAGGGTAATACTAGGGTGTCTATCGGGGTGATAGGAGGGGTAATGCTAGAGTAATTACGGGGTGATATTAAGGTAATATTAGGCGATATTAGAATTGTACTAGGATAATTACCAGATGATATTAGGGTAATTATATGGAGTGATATTAGGGTAGTGTTAGTAGTAGCCATTGGCTAATATTAAAGTAATTATTAGGCGATATTAGGGTAATGCTAGGGTGATTACTGGGTAATATTAGAGTAATACCAAGGTAATTACCGGGTAATAGTGGGGTAATTGTCATGGTGATATTAGGGAAATTACCGGATAATATTAGGATAATTATTGAGGTGGTATTAGGATAGTAGTAAGATTTTAAGTTTGTAAGTGTGTCAGCTAAAATTCTTCACCAGTTTGAGGTAATGCCCACCTGAGCATACGCTTTTGGAGAAATATGACGTAGTTTACTTTTTGACTATCGTACTGAATACTCCCATTATAGATTACCACTTATGCAAATGTTTAAAAATATGATGACATGCTGACGAACCGCAACGGGCATCTTGTGACTTTTACTTGATTTGCCAATCAAAGAATAGGCAATGTATATTTTTTCATTATATGTATATATTCCTTTTTTTCACTTACAGCTTGGGTGCTATAGCAATTAACTCCCTTCTTTACAGAATCCTTGCCTAGTTTCCCGGCATTAACGTCAGTAGGCCTTTGGAATCATATGTGCTGTATATCATTACATGTGTAGTCTGCCTTGTTGGTACATCCTTTGGCTGAATCAAACAACTGTATGCGGGCCAATTTTAGTTTATCATAAATTGGACCGATTCGCATATATAATTTCATTTTGGGCATTGTTAACTTCTTGGCTTGCTCTTTAAGTGAGAGTATTAGTGGATACTCAATGAGTAAATTAGCAGATATAGGTAAAAAGGATGGTAAAGGTTTCTTAATAGGAAGCAATTTGTTAAGTCGCCATGGTAGCGAAGCTGACACAGGCTGAATTCGAGCCATATTCGTCGCGATGATCAGAGGTTGTTGATTTCTTTGAAGGACATTCGGTTTGCGGCGTCCAATTGAATCATAAGATAGAAGACCTAACGCACAGATCTGGCGCGTTCGAGTGTAACGCAACCAGCCCCTTACACTAGGTTTTAATTTTCACTAAACGAATTTTATTAAAAGATCCCGATATCGAACAAATGGGATTGTCTAGGTAATATTCCCGTCGCAATAATACGCTTGTCTACTAAACATAAGGACCTTTAGTGAGACTGGGTTCGAGTTAGAAACCGGACCTATACACACTTGCTTTCTTTCATATTGGTCTTACGCCAGGCCTCTGAAGCAGCAATGCTTAACTAAGACAGTTAAATTTATCTATCTATCTTTATCTAATTTGAATAATCTTGTACGTAATAGATTTGTATAACCCTCTTATAAACTGAACAACGTAATTTCTATATCTTTACCCCTAATCTTTACTACTAATTGTTGCTTAATTATTCTATATATGTTACAATACACCTACACTTTATACATTTGAGGCTAAGTGTATGATACGGAGAATATATAATTACCAATGCATTCATAGAGTTCGGCTTGGGTTTCAGGAGAGTTCAGGTTGCTAAATATGTAAACGTCCTATCTACCAATGAACCTTGGTTTGTAATCACGTCACAGTACAGGCCACCTTAAACTGCGTAGCTGGGTCCTTACATCCAGCAGCGATATGTAAAGTGGCCTCGCTGTAGGCAGTATGGATTACACCGTAATATACTGTATGTAAGTCTACAAGGGGCTGCGATACACTTGATCGTATAGCAACCGTTGCATAGATTTTTCGATTTCAGATGCTATCTTCTGCTGTCACTAATGCGGTGTGCAAGGCGACGGTGGATCTCACCTCATTCGTATTTCATATACTACTGAACGGCTTGCCTCCGCCAGCTAAAACAACACGCATATCGGACACAGTGGAACCCATTAAGGAGGAGAATTCACAGTGCACCGGAGTCGAGAGAGATGTGGGCAGATTCGACACTTCTGCAAACTACGCGCCAGCCCCGAAACCGAGTACAAGAATTATTAGGAAATCGACAACTATGACAGGATCGAGTGCCCTATTCGGGTCGCTTATTGCCTTTTCTGTGGTGCTTAAGGTGAGGGTCGACCGCCCCGTTCAAGAGTGTTTTTGTGTTGTTTTGAGAAGATCGTTAAACATTAGGCCATTGCAGAGGAAGGTCGTCACAGATTCAAGGCGGTAGCGAGCACAGCTCGAGTGGATTAATACTCCAATGTGGGACGAGCTCAGCTGTGTATGTAGGCCTATTGGGGACGCTAAGCTTTGCGATGCTTTGATGTAGTCATCATTGCAGTTCAGAGGTCGTCATGATTACACAGGAAAGCTACATATTTACTTTCCTGGAACCCAAGGCAAAACTATTTTAATACATTGGTGCTCATCTATTGTTCGTACCATACACCGTTGGCACAAGTGTATGAACTTAGTGTATAGAAGAGTTAATAGTAAAGACTGCGGTCGTTTTACATAAATTACGTTACTTATGTTGTGAACGAAATACACAAATCTATAACAACATTAAAGAAATGAACGACAGGTATAGTCAACTGGTTCTACCTGTTCGTAAATAACCACGTAACCATTAGGCTGAAAGCAACGCTGACCCTTAACATTTTAGCACTAAAAAGTTGTGTTTACGCTGCTTTTTTTTTAAGGGAAACATAAACATTGTGCATGGTGTTAAGAGGTTTTTCTGTAAGAGGACTTACTGCTCTTACAGTAGACGCGGTTGTTGTGATTCTCGTTTGGGCATCGATCTGATTGCACATCTGGGGCCCACGTTGTTCTTATCCGATAGAAGACTAGACTTACCGAGATCATAGACGGCAAACGCTTTCTATCAAAAATGACGCCATAGTCTCTCATGACAATGTTGGCGGTATGGAACTACTAGTTACTGATTATTAGAAAAGTTGTCCAAAACAAGTTTGCGAATTTACTAAACTATCAGTCCAAACGATGAGTAGCAGCTTTAGCACGCACAAATCGAGTTCTTTTATATTTACACACATAGAAAATAACTATTTTGTTCTGGAAGAAAGACCTGAAATACTTCGAAATCGCCTATGCGAACGACTAGGGCCTTCAATAAATAGCGTAAATAAGACGTAACAGTCAAAAGAGGACAATAGAGTGCGAAGCATCTGGAAGGCCCTGCTAAAGGAACAGCCAACTATTTTTCCTTAGCGATTTTTCACGATTGAAACTTAGCGAAGTTATTTAATATAGTTGTGGTTTTTAAATTACGTCGGTGACAAAGGTTCCACATAGCCCCTGCTATGAGAAGGATGACTTTCCGCTTTCAATAATACCAGATCACGAATACAAGTTGTGTTGACAACTCAAGCTGGCATAGAATGACGCCTTTCATAAACTGGGGTATATTCTTTAGACAAACGCACGTACTGTAGTATACCCATATCTGATCTAATGAATTTCACTGCGACAGACTGTTTTGAAATAAAGGTAAAGGACTGTTATGTGGCTGTTCTCCCGTCTAATAAGTTGGCGGCAACAAGGATACTTGGGATGCCGAAAAAAGTAGCTGGTCGGGCGCACCGATGATGACAACAGCTGTCTGCTCTCAAACGGTAAAAATAAACAAACTGTTTCAAAGATAAAATAGGCCTTTATGGGATAAAGCAATCGAAAACTATTACATTGATGCAATTCAATTTTCATGGAACAGAACTAACCGATATGACATATACTCATTATGTGTTAGATGGAATGAATTGTTATTTCCTATAGAAAAAAAACAAAGGCATATGAGAATAAATTGAATATAACATTAAGAGATAGATAGAAATTTATAGTCAATAGGAGTATTGGTGAAAGTATATGGAAGAAATGCCGTCGCAAAAGGGTCGTTGTGGTGTTCTATTCGAGTGCTGATTAGAAATGCTTAGAATTCAACATGTGGTACCATGGATGATGTTCATAGATATCGGCCAATGAAGTCGTTAGAGGGCGCTCGGGCTGTGCCATTGTTGTAAAGAGCAATTAGTAGCATTGCCCTTCACTCAACAGAACCAATCTGCTGTGTCTAAGGCAAGCGGTTACTACAGGTTATTTGCAAAATGACTTCATATTATTGGCTTTTTGGAGGCGATTTTCCAGTATCTTCCTTTAGTAGCCCCAGCAGTAGCAATGGAAGTTGTGACGATCTAAGCCATATGTCCAATGACAGCACATCCTCCAATGATGCATCTCCAGGAGGTAAGTTTAGCAGCCCCTAGAACAAACCGAAGTCGAACGTTGAAATTCTTATTGAAATATCTCGACATGGACTTTCTGAGGAGTATAGCTAAGAGGTGATGTGAAGATCTACACAGCGTGCTCTGTTGATGGCGTCGCGCGAAGCAGTGATGTTTCACGTGGCTGAGTGGCCGAATGACGATGCTTCAGGTTAGCAACAACGCGTATTCTATAGTGAAACTCCACGAATGTAAGTTAAGCAGGGAAGTGTAGATATGTCTAGCGTAGAGGCTTCAGCATTTCGCAGTGCAGTGTCATGACTATTTCGAATTCACGACCATTAATCCGCGGTCTGTCCTTTGTAAATGCTAAGCTTCGCTACGTTTGACTGAAGGTTAATCAGGTGGTTAGGTTAAAGGCACTGCAGTGTTCGTGCTAAAGAGCGTTCTGCCATCTTAACATCAGATCTCTCTCGAAGTCAACACAATGTCAAAGATAATACCTAACCTACTATTGGATTTAAAACGTTTTCAGTCATGGCAAAACGTGTGCACGACGACACTAAAGCTAATAGGACTAGGATTTTACCTAGAACCTAGAGCACAACCGTTCTTGGCAGGGCTGTTTTGCGTTACAGATAGAGCAGACGAATGTTTACCATATGATATACTAGAATGAGTGATTGATTGCTGGCATGATTCGGATACTAATGTTTCATTTCAAATTAAAAGTATTCTTAACCATTCATCGATGTAACCAAAATGAACGTTTATCGAAAGAAGAATTTTTGTGGAATAACTACGTAACAAAAACGTGTCGTAATGCATCTGTGAGTAGCACTTTTACAAAAGCAAAAAATTACGCATCTTTTCCCAACATTGTCCTAACTCTAAGCCTAAGCTTGTTTCTGCTTAAATATTCTACGTGGCGAGGTGTACAGATGAATTAACTTCGTATTCGGTTTATTTTATTCTCTTGTCATACTAAATCGCACTGTCCTCCAATATTATATCGATGAATTTCAGATCCAGTGGACGTTTATCGTCAACTCCTAGAATTCACCCGCCGTAACACGCACCCTATGCCGGGAACTAGTTATATACCAATGTTGTCATGGTCTGAAGAACGTAATCCGTCTGTACCAGTGAACGACAAAGGCACCAACCTTCCACGAGCCCTGTCGTACCCCTGGAATACGGATAATTTCGTTTGCAATCCGACTCATGTATGGGACAAATCGACGGAACTTCAGCACTACAACTCCTCACCGTATTCTAAAAAATGTACGGTTTCTGAGGAACCTCACAGACGTTATATTGACGACGTGAATCATACGATGAGAAATATGGTGCAGGATTTTGATTGGGATCCAGTTATTTCCAGATCCTTCAATGATGCCAGTTGTTTGTCTAATTCGGCGCATCCGGGTAAAACAAGTCCCAGCACTTCGTCGAGCTCCCGTAAACAGCGGCCGAAAAAACAAGAGAAACCTAGCTTCAGCAACTCGCCTGAACTGTGTATAACGATTGTATGTATATGCATGTGCGCATATTTATATGTTAATTGGTAAACGTTGACGCAGTCGAAAATATAGTGACTCAATTGTTCGCGTAACTGAAAACTCGGCTAGCCTATGAGTCCGATTAAAGGGCTTTGTTAACTAGAAAGAAAGTCACCGTTAAGTAACGAATCTCTGGGGACATGACTGTGCTAACTTTTCCATTCAAGCTAGCCCTCTATAAGAATAAATAAAAACAGAACAGCTCGGTGGCTGTACCGTGCTCGCAGAGCACCTTAATTAAAAGCAGGCCAACTGGCGAGCAGGAATCACAAGCAGTATTCTGGTGCCAATTCTGCGCATAAACTCGAAAAAAAAAAAAACACGGAAAAGAGTTACTTTTGTAATAGATGACCTATGGCCATGGCTGAATCAAAGCTGGTTGTTTGAACCTGTCTGAGTGAGACTGAGCGATCAGGGAAATTTAGGCTGCATCTGTCCTCTAAAGTGTTTAATTGATCTTTGTGTGCGATTAAGGAGCACTGCCTTCTGTGGAGGATACAGTCCACTGTCTTTAAACAAAGAAAAGTAATTGATAGAAGTGCAATACTTACCACTGCCAAAAAAAGTCCCTAAATTGGAAATTGTATGGAATCACAGGGAGGCGGAAATCAGCTAATTCACAAGGTTGAGCTCTGCTGAATTACGGTGATAAGAGATCTACTGGAAAATGTAATCGCTTATTAAGTTTAGCCAGTGGCAATCATTGATGTGTACTGAGAATTGCAATCTAAATTAATTGATTGAAGTGTGATTAAACAGATCTGTCTATAAATAAAGACTGATAAAAAATACCTGAATCATTGCTGTTGCCGTTTTCGTAGTGTAAACTATCACAGGTGCCGGTGTATGGGATATACAAGAAAATTGTGTGCCTAGGATAACACTAGGCAACACAATCGTATTACAACAAATCGTACACAATTTGATATTAAGTTTTCTTAATTAACTAATTAAGGAAATTAGACAGTACACATCTGATCTACATTACAGGTTAATCACAAGAAACTACTATTATGTTTTCTTAATCTATAATAAGCTTTACTAACATATGTAGTGGCATGTACTCGTTGGTACTGCAACAATTTTTATTTTAATATATGATCAAAACCTGATTTGTTTGCCGGTAGGTTTCGAGAAGCGCTACCTAACAGGACAATTGAATCTGAACATAGACTACCTTCGTTTTGTGCCGCGAGCCAGTCGTCTAAAACAATGCTTAACAACTCAAACACTGGACGTAAAACCCGAAACATTTATTTAACGGGTAAATTAACAGAAAGCTATCACTTGAATTTATTGAACAATTTCGTTTATTCTATTTAAATAGCTATGCGACGACGCGTACCTAAATCATCTGCCTAGTATAGACCTCGCGGACGCAGCAGGGTGCTGAAAGCGGCGTTCCTGTTAAAAAAAAAGGCTTTGGAGGACAAAAATAGATTTTTAGCAATTGATCATTAAAATACCTACAAATCTCTCACACTGCTCCATTCTGCTCGTTAAACCAGTGCACTCCTTGGGCTTGAATGAGCACAATATTCCATATTTGACTGTCAAATGTATTAATCCACTATCTGATACAGAGCTCACGACTGAAAAAGCAGTGTACCATCATGTAAAATTAAGTTCTGAATTGCCCATATGCCCTTCACCTTTAAATATTACTTAAGAATACCATTATTTTCTTTAGAACTAGAACATTTACATTTTAATAGTTCATGAACATCACTTAGGCTGAAAGACATTTGTCGTACGTTAAGTAATTATATAACTATGTATGTTAAGAATATGTTTCTATGAAAAAATACCTATCATTATTCATACAGGGTTCGTTGTGTGTTACACCGGGCATTTGAAACATCGATAGTCCGTTGTGACCGTAAGCTAGCTCATACAAGCCATCGCGTTACCAAAGGAACGGCATACGTGTAGTTCTAGGCCAGATATCAGTTAGGTACTGTAAAATACATCAACCAAAATTTACCAGTTCTTTTAGACGATTAATTTGTAGAAAATATTTAAGTAAAACAAGATCTTTGATGCATGATTAACTTTGGATATTTTTTATAATATTGCTCTTCTCCTGTGGTGTAGCCAGTTGGTGCTAGGGAATTCTGGGTCGAATGATGACCTTATTCATAGTTTTAAATAATTTAGGTAGGAAACATGTGGATCGACAGACTATATCCGTGTTTGGCATATATTATAGCAGTATTTATTGCACAATGTCTACACGGCCGATGGCGTACTCAAGTCTTCGTGTGCCTCTTCTTTTGACACGACCTCGTTCTTTACACCGTCTTAGACATGACTATCTGTTTTCTATGCTTGGTGCCGAGCTTGTCACTCCGATGTTAACTCTCCCTCGTCGATCAATTTATGCGTCAGATAACTACTGCTCCTAGATACCAGTGTCTAATCTCTGAAACATGCAATAGATGTTAAATGATGGTCATATGCATTAAAGGGTAGTATAGTTAAAATATGGCTTACCTCAAGGCATTTTTGCGTGTCCAATAGAGCTCCACAATTGAAGCACCCCAGGCACCCAATGGTCAACTAAAAAAATACTAGGTAACTGTCACATGCTTCTTTGCGTACTTATAGTACACTCAAATAGTTTTGGGTGCTTGGTCAACCTCGAGCCTGGAGTACTTCACGAGTTCTGGCTTTAAAGTCAGGGGAATGTTTGAACGGTTGCAAACAACAATTGCTGTAACGGTAGATGGAGCTGAGCCAAGCGCTACGAAGTTCTTCATGAATGCTGCACCTTTGTCGTCGATATACATAGCTCAGACTTCCCGATTTGATTTATTTGATGTTGCTTGTGTGCGATTGCTTGTTATTAGCTGTTGTTACAAATCAACGTGAAGTTTTTCTTTTACATATTTACAAAATTTCTCTGTGCCTAATTAGTCTCTATGACAGAGCTCGCTCCCGCTTCGAAACTTTAATATATATTGCTATATTTTATATCCGAGCTACGATGTAAATTCTAATTCACAGCTTTCACATACGTTATTGAATAAATAAGAGAATTTCTATCTATCTTATTTTTACGTTCGGTCCGTGGGCCGTTAGGCATAAATTCAGTCAGGTTTTCCCTATTATAATACTGCTACCCGCAATATCACCTCTTATATTATTCATGAGACTAACTGACCACGTATACGACTATATAATGCAAGCTACGCTCTGCCTACATACTCCCACGTTTAACTTAGTCTGACCTTATTTTTGCCTTATTTATCTTCTGTTTCCCAACATTTCAAGCAGGCACCCGATAACCCGATAACGAGAGATTCGAATGTAGATGATTACTTGCGTTCCTTGTTGCTCTTTACTTCTACCTCAATCGAGCGATCAAGAGGCAATAAAAAAGAAAAGGACACTAGTCATTTGTGATAAGTAGTATCATCGAACGGCGTTTCTCTATCAGCGTGAAAGCAACGCCAGTTACCCCTTGTCGTAAATGGCTGAGACAGCTCAACAGCTTCTTTTTAATGTTAGGCATCAATCTGTTCTCGTGCTCAAGAGGAGCGACGTTAGGCAAGTGGGTGTCGGCCGGAGCCTATGGCGGTGAGTGCATGTCTCTGACATTGATTGAATTCTACATCAACGCGGAGTCGACACTGAGGTCGAAACTGTATTGAAGCTGCTTTACTAGCTACTGGGCATCACTTAAAGGCATCTGTGCCACCATTGTTATCCACAATGACATTGTTACAAGGCTTGCTTGTTATCGACTTCCGTAGGACTTTTGACTTTGTGCGCCCCTGTCCTCTCTTGCAATCAGAACAAACACCGACAAGATCACAGTCTATAGCGACCGGTATGTCCCTACGTCGACTTCTATGTCACTACAGTTTTCGTATGTACATCTGCGTTATACATCGTTGGACCGATAGAGTGTGTTTAAAAGCTGGTCGTAGCCTCGATGGTCAGATTTATAGCTTCGCATAGCTGCGTATTGTGCGTAGCATAGAGACATTTACTGATTCAGTTATGACGTTGGTTGTCGAGCTAAACAAATAAAGTTTGCATTCGTTTTGGTTACCGCTTCTAACCGGTGGGATTCTTCTAAGTCTACTATTTCCTGTTCGAAAATATTGTCAGTCTCGCGTACACGGGGCCACCATAGAGGACGAAGGCACGACAAAGAAGCTTTGCCCTTTCGTGGGGAGCCGGTCGTGGACATGTGGAGGCGGCCAGGCAGGGGACGATCGCGGGAAATGAAATCTTCTCCGAAGAACTAGAGAAGGGATTGTGAGGTTCGAGTAAAGCGAGGCAACTACCGGGAATGCCATATGTTTCATAGAAATCAGTGGTCGACCCGTTGTCGACGAGATCATCTTGGCTGGCTTCACCCGATGGCGGAAGAACGCTGGACGAGAAAGTGAAGGTTTCTGGCATGAGTATACCAACGTCGAACGGGGCGTGGTAGGTGTATATAGGAGAGCAGTGATAGGGGTATCGCTGTGGGTGGCTTTATGGCGTATATAGACAACAGCAGTCATGAATCTCATCTAATAGTTTTTTCGTGCTGGATATTACACGAGCGTATGAGAATGGGTCATTAGGGACAGGTGGGGAAATTCGGGCAGTGACAGGAACGGAATTACGGATGTGGTGCGAAAGACTATCCAATATCTATTCAGCATAGGAAAACGTGCTCAAAAACTTCGGTAAGATACAATGAACTGGATTCAAGAGAGATATTGAGGAAGAACGTGGACGTTGGTTGGGTGAGATGATGGTGGGCTAAGTCTGAAAATCTCGAACAGAGATCACAGTGCTTTTTATTGGCATGAATGTTAAAGTGGGACGACGGCCAGTATTGGACTGAAACCTGTTCTGAGTACCACATGTTCCAATGATTCGAGACGCACTAGTAGAACAACATCATCGTCGTTACGTGAATATCTCCAAGTCGTATGTGATGATGGCTTAGGAGCCTATTGCAAGGTCGATGTTCAGTTCAGGAGGATAAACGTCAACTTGGATTATTTTAAGTACACAACTGGAAAAAAACCGACAGAGTCTGTGTAGAGAAAAACGTAAGAACGTACGTGATGAACTGCTACGACTTGTTGGGGGTCAGGGGGCTTGTTAGCCTGTTTGATGTCCTACTTGAGCCGATTAGAGAATTTACAATTTTCAAATTCATATTCTTATCCCCATTCAGTTGAAGAAGTGTTTCATGAGCCGTGGTGACGGAATTCAGCAACAGACATGCTTTGGTTCATGGTATTAACTTGGCTTTCTGAACAAAAAATGCTATATGCACTGGTAGATGTGTATATAGCATTTTTTTTTCTACTTAACTCTGCTTTTCTATTGA